TTTTTTGTCCCAGTCCAGCCCTGATCATATACAATATAATTTTGCATACATTTCTGTACAATTGCACAAAATCTTTAAGAACAAAATCAAAGCTTCTAATTAAATTATCAGTGCATATTCATACAGTAGTTTAATCATTTATAGGACTACCCCGAAACCTTTTTCAATATCAAGGTGCCTTAGTTTTAGTGCTTCTACAGCAGCTCGACTAAATTGTGTACATGAAGAGAGAGAAAATTAATTTCCCTTTTCCTTTTCTCTCTTCTCGCCGGCACTTCACTCCATCAGCTTTCTTTTTATCCTTAAGTCATTTTCCCTTTGTCTTTCTCACTCTGTGAGCGCCTGCACTCTCCATCTCCACCCTGCTTCCCAACCGCAGCATCAGGAAAAAAATTCAAGCTCCGAAATACAGCAACAGTTGTATTGTCACCTAAAGCTTTATTGTTCCCTTTTTACCTGATTTATTTTCCTGTTTTCTCTAAATGACAGAGCAGGCCTGGGATAACACAGAGTTAAAATCAGCGCCTAGAGACTGAATTCTGAGTGATAGAGCGAACGAGAGAGAGAGAGAAAGTTTATAAGGCGCGGTTTTGGAGAAATGTAAGAAAGAAACGAGGGAATCTGTGGTGACCAGCTGCAAGAGAGGAGATAGCAGAGAGAGGCTTTTAATTCCCAATCCCTACAGAGCCTTTGAAAATTACCAATCTTCTTATCACAGACACAGGGCTGCTTATGCAAATTGTTGTGGAGTGGAACGTTTAAACGGAAAATTACTCGACAGCAGTTTTTTTATTTTTGCCTCCTTCTCTCCCTCCCTCCCCCCCTCCCCCCACATGCACACTTCCACATAGAAAGTCTGTTTCCAGTCTCAGATAAGAAGATAAATTGCTCTTTGTGCTTTGAAGCACGTCAGGATTTAAAGACTCCTGCCTAGCTGTGGTCTACGACTGCTGCTCTTTCTGGCTTTGTCAAAAAAAAAGCTATGGGAAGCAGGGAAGGTCATTTCAAAACAACATAGAATCTACGCTCCCAAAAGTCAGAGCCGCCTGCCGAGTCTGAAAAATATATATTGAAATCCACTCAGCAAGCAAATTCCATTCAATGTTGTTTATTATTCCCACACTTGTTGGTTGCGCTGGTTCTAAACTGGATCTTAATTTCTCAGCATGACAAAACAATAGATCCGCGGGGGTTTTGGTCTTGGACACTGAAAGTCCAAATGACACTTTCGGCAGTTTTCCAAAATTCTTTTGAAAAACAGAGCAGGGCTTCTTCCCATTGCGGTGCCTTATCAGAGGCGAAGAGCATCAGAGAGCCAGATGGGTTTTGTGAACGCTGTTCAGCCAGAACTCGAGCGCAGCGGAGAATGCGGCTCTCTCATGCTTGGCCAACAGCTCTTGACTCTAGGCCACAATTCAATTCTGTCTTTGAGAAATCATTTTCAAAGCATGTCTCTGTATTGGGGAGAGAGCCTATAGAGGTCAATTGATGGCAGCACCTTCATTTCGTATTGTGGTATTGCGTCGGTGGCGGGAACCTGTTTGGAAAATGATGGTGTAATTTTGTTATTTTATTCCATGCCGGTCCTTTAGTACCTAGAAGGGCCGTTCGTACTGCATAATGACTGTTGATTTATTGATTTTAACAGTGGCGGGCAACCGAAAAATAATTTATTCTATAGATTTGTGTGTGGGTGTGTGTGTGTGAACAAATCTGTTTGACTCACGAGTCTTGCTTTTGTTATTAGTCTATTAAGAGTATGCTGCTGGATGTTGTCTGAATGCATTTTCAGTTACTATCACCCTACGCAGTATTTTCGATATCTTGATAGTGGCTCATTGTTTTTGTTTATGTATATTCTTGCATAATTCACTCACCCACATGTTGTTTCAAACCTCTATGCCTTTCTTTCTGCTGTGGAACACAACATAGCAGAACATTGATGCTGATTTAAGTTGTACAATGAAAGTAAATGGTAACCAGGGGTTGTCAAGCTCCAAAAATCTTCTGAAGTCAGGCACGTGCAGGGGGTGGTGGGGGGTGCGATGGGTGTTTGAGCACCTGCCCCTTTCCCCTTGATGCCCAAAGTGCCCTTTTGTCAAGGCAATTTTTTTTTTGTAATTAAACACCATTTTGTGAAGGCCTGCCCAATCTAACTATTAGTAAAATGAATTAATTATAATTTAGTCGTAAATAAAATTATCCACATGATGATGACCTTTCACCTGACGATCTCATCAGGGACTATCCCTCACGTTCAGACACCTTTAATGTAGCGCACTACCAGGATGCCTTCATAACGTCCGCAGCTGCCGGTAAGTAGAGTTCTCAGCGGAGCGCTTGTATACTTATATTATTAAATTATTATTATTATACAAGAACTGCGTGAAGAGAGTGTGCACAGCTGTTGTTTATATTGCTGTTTGTAGCCTGTGGAAGTAAGGTTAGCTGCAGCAAGGGGCTATAATAATTTTGTTCAATATTTTCCTAATGACAATTTTATGATCGGTTTATAAAGGCTACTACGAGCACCTTTTCCCTATTTTTATCACAGAATAAGGCAGAAAATGTATAGTTTCTATAGGCTACTAAATGATATGTCAATCAGTACTGCATTATTCATAAAGTTTATTTATTACCTGGAGATAACTTGAAAAACAGACATAATCCGTATATTTTCGCAATCGTGTGTTTATTGTCTTCACGTTTTTTTCTGCTTTTCATTCAGCTCAGCTACAGCAATAGCCGGATGCTTTTGTCCATATTAGGCTTTCCTGCACGTCATAAGTCATTCCTTCTATGAGTCTGTTTTGGACTTTCTGCACGAGAGCGCCCTCCGGCTTCGAGTATGAATTAAACATACACTGCATGAGAATGTTGAGCGCTCCAGATATTCACTTCTCCTCATTTTGGATATGAATAAAACATCAGGTCATGCATAGACTATCGATACTGTCTCTTTTAATTTAAATCTAGAAACCTCTACGTGAACACACCTGCCCGAATAAAGTGCGGGGGACGAAATTACATTTCTTTAAAATTAAATATTAAAAATGCAGCTAACGTTCTACACACAGCAATATAAACAAAGGTGCCTGTTCTCTTTCGTTCTTGCTGTTTGATTGGGAAAAGTTTAATGGGCATCGAGGGGTCTTGTCTGTATGTTATCTGACTAAACAACTATTACTTTTAACTTTTTTTTTATACAGTATTTATTTTAAAAACGTAGAGTGCCTTAAAAATAATTATCACAACCCTGATAAAACAGGCTTATACTGATTTTCTCATCCTCCAATCCTGTTTTTATCATCATTATAATTAAAAAAATTCATAAATTCAGAACAGGATTATAATATAATTCTATTTTAAATAAGACAGAAATATTTTTTCTACAACAACAACAGTAGTGTTTACAACAGCAAAACCACCATACCCTGTAAACTCAATAATAATAATAGGCCTAATTTAATTCCGTTTCTATTTTCAGAGTGATTAAGAGGTGCAAAGAAATATTTATTTAACTTTTAAACTTAAAATGGTCTTTTCTGTTCTGTGTTTCTTTTTCAAAACACCGTCACGGCATTTGCTGCTATCAATACAGAAGCATCCGTTTCGATACATGTCTCAGCAAGGAGCACAGCCCTATTAAAAGCCGTGCTCCATATGCCCCTTTTATACTTTGAGCACCTGCCCCTCCAAAGGTCTCTGCACGGCCCTGTCTGAAGTTATATGATTTTTGTGAAGAAAAGCCAGAATGTTAAGCCATAATTGTCTCCAATGCATTTCACACAACAAATTTGAATGCAAGTAAGATGTAAGATTTTAAGTAAGATTTGAGTGCTACAATGAAAAGGGAGATTTTCAGACAATCTATGCATGGCTCTATGCAGGGCATGTTGTTGTATGGAATACTTTTAAGGCAGCGACTATTTGCACTACGTGTAAATAGCGATAGAGGCTATTTACGCTAAGTGAAAATAGCATATTTTCTTAGTGATAGATGCTATTTACACTAAGTGCAAATAGCGATGGATGCTATTTACACTAATTGCAAATAGCAGCATTTTTTACTTTACTTTTACTTTTAGTCATTTAGCAGACGCTTTTATCAGTTCGGACATCGCACAGTGATCATTCAATAAATATATACATATACATGTACATATATATAAATACATTCAATATATATAATTTAATTTCCATTTTGTATGTTGAAGTACTGAAATAACTCAAATTAAATAAAACAAAGTTAATAAAAACCTATATAGACATAATAAAAAACTAATAAAATGACAACATTACTACCACTGTAACTAAAACTAAAATAGATAACTAATACAAATCAAACTACATTAGTTTATCAGTAATCCTAAAAACTTTACTAAAAAATTTTTAGTGATATGCTATTTACACTAAGTGCATTCAAATTATTAAATGGATGCCACCTTATTGGGACAATAAAGCACTCCCTACACCTACCCTATCCGATACTTTATTTTCAACTTTTTGATTATTTCCTTCATTTTCATTGAAAATAAATGCTTTTCTGATGTGATTTGAATTTGAAAAGGGAGAAAAAAGTTTGCCAAAAGGCGGATTCGAACCCGGGTCGATCACGTCAAAATGAGTACGACACATGTTTTACCATCTGCGCCATGTAATGTTTTAATGTTGACTAGCCGAATCACACATTGATGGGTGGAGTTAGGGTAAATAGCCTCTGCCAACAAGGCGGGCTATTTGCACTTAGTGTAAATAGACACTCCGTACTTTTAAAGTTTTTTTTTTGTTTGTTTGTTTTTTTGTTTGAGCATGAAAGCCCCTGGTCAACATTCACATGGAATGGAAAAGAGCAGCATTAACATTCTGCCAAAAAAAAAGTCAAACTGGTTTAGAATGACATGAAAATGACATAAATTTCATTTTTGGGTAAACTATCGTTATCCTTAATCATACAGTAATATCTCTCAAACCTTTTTCTTCTTTATTCTGTATTCCAGAGGCAGCTGAGGAGGAGGAAATGTTATCTGCTAATCGCTGGAGTGCTGCTTCTTACTTTGCTTATCATCATTATTGCAGTCTCAGCCAGAAAATGAGATCGAGACCACAGGTGAGCTATGTCTGGTGTGCCCAGCCTGTAATATAAATAACAACATAAAAAAGAAAGTGAGAAAAGATACTCTAGGGACAACACAAATCAACAGAACAAAAATAAAACAAATATTAAAATATATTATTTTTAAGCAAATGTATAACATCTGTGAGCGATATAATTATATAATATTATTATTATGTATTATTGTTTTAATAATAAGTATATTTAATAAAATAATTATTAAATATTTTGTCCTTTTCTTGGATGAAGAGAACAGTATTTATTTGAAATAGAAATATTTTGTAACATGATAAATGTTTTTACTTTAACTTTTGTCCAATTTAATGTGTCCTCTTATTTTTAGTTGTCAAACGTTTGGAAATGATGGTTATGATTATGATAATGATGATTATGATTTTTAAATGTTTTTAATGAAGTCTCTTATTCTCACCAAATCTGCATTTATATGATCCATTTATTTTGAAGGATCATGTGAGACCGAAGACTGGAGTAATGATACTGAAAATTCAGCTTTGTATCACAGGAATAAATTATATTTTAAAATATATTACAATACAGTTATTTTAAATTGTAATACTGTTTTAAGAACATAAATGCAGAGCATAAGAGGCTTGTTTTAAAAACATTATTTTTTTTAAATTATTATGAACTTTTGACCAGTAGTGTAGATATATAAAACATTTAAATATATAATTTAATACAATATAGATTTGTTCAAATATTTGATTCAATTTATTTATTTATTGTTCATTGGCCTAATATACCAATTCAAACTTTGCCACCTCATTTCAGGTACTAATAACACAATAAAAAAATAAAAAATAACTATACCTTGTGGCATTTATCACCAAAATGCAGTGCAGAACATCCTAAACAATTAATTTTGACTGAAGCAGGTAATTTTGGACATTTGTTGTCATCACTGAATAGTAAAACACCCAGAGTCTCCAGCTGCCCCTTGTTTAAAACTTTTAGACACAATAATCTCTGAAAAAAAAAAAAAAAGGTGTCAAAACACTCTTGCTTACCTAATTGGTTCTTGACATTTGTATAGCCTGAACCGGCATATCAGGATGCTATTTTTTTTACCACGAAAAGCCAATCCGGTGAAAGCACTTCAGACTAATATTTCACCCATGGGCAGCCTCTCTGAGGGGAGTGGGATTTTATCAGTTAGATGGATTACCTCCTCATTCATTTCTGAAAGGCCAACTGACAATTACACTCTTATGTTATTCATTTATCCTCACAATCTACTTTTATTCGTTCATTGGTTTTTCTCATTCATCTACCTGTGAGGAGGAAGAGTGTTGGAAACTGGGTGAGGAGTGACTCCATTTCCATGAGATGAGAGTTTATCTATGTGTTGGATCTCTCGCGGCCTCCCTCGGGGAGACGAGGCTGAGTGACAGCCTGGACTCCCTCTCGTATCGATCCGTACCCTCTCTGTTCTCCCGCTTTTCCTCTGGCAACACGCACACACCTCCTTTTAAGCGGCGTGTGTGAAACTGAAAGTAGATAGCATCTTTAATTAAGTAGCTTTTTAACTCACATTTGTGAAACAGAGTGAAACAGGGAGCATAAGTTGTTTGAACTTTGGTGCCAAGATCTCATCTTTTACCAAGCGCTTCAGCAAATAAGAACAGTTGAGAGATTTTGTCACTAAAAAAAATCACTCAACTCGAGCACGCTCTGCCATATGCACTGCTCACAAATGGAGAACTCTTAAGTACTAATTGATTTAGAGATTTCAATATTCCATCACTTCTGTTGTTTTGACCTACAACGATCTCATTTATGCTGTTATTATGTCTTTTAGAATTTAAAAACTAGATTTTCACTTTTTTTCAGTAAAAAACTGTAATGGATGCTTTTCTGTGCAAAAGTTGCTGCCATGTTATGCGGTTGCCGTGGTGTTGTGTTTTTTTAGGATATTGCAGTGCGGTTGCTAGAATGTTCTGAGTGGTTGCTAGGTGGTTGTTGTCATTTCTGTATAACTTGGGTCCCCTTTTTTTTTTTCTTATACGTATAGTTCACCCAAAAATCTTATGCTGTTCCAAACCTTTATAAAGGCCGTTCACGCAATTGTTATTTTAGCATCACTGAGATATTATATAGTTTTATTATATTTGTATTATAGTTTATATTTTTTATTAATATTTTGAAACAGTTTTTTGTTTTTTCATTTTAATTGTAGTTTTAGTTCTTTTGTTTTATTATAAAATATTGAAAAATAAAGTCCACACCAAAATTATAATGATAACGACATAGAGGAACCATACTGTTGCACTTTCAGAACATTTTTTAAAGCTGATAAACGATATAAACATTGACAATCAGAATCCATCTGACTTTCAAGAGCCTGAACATTGGGAGCGGCAGATGACACAACTACAGTTAATCTAATAAACAGAACATTGTCGTGCATTGGTGTAGACGCTTATCATTTTTTTCATTCTTGGTGTGAACAGGCCTTAACTATCTTCTTGCAGAAAGCAAAAATATATATATTTTAAATAATACTGGGGCCCAAACAACATTGGATTGTACTGACTTTCATTGTATGGACAAAAACAATATATATATATTACTACAATTCAAAATATCTTCTTTTGTGTTCCATGAAAGAGATGCATACAGATTTGGAAAGACTTGAGAGTCAAAAAATGAAATAATTTTTATTCGGGGGTGAACTATCCCTTTAAGTATAATTACATTAATAGTGGAGCTGTTTAGTTAATTCATCCCTCCAACTAATATTTTTTTGCTCACCTCTCAATTCCTGATTAAGCATGTGTTTTGTTTCTCAGGTTGACTCTAAGTCCTGGATAACTGCTTTAAGAGACCCATGTAGCAACGTGTACCAAATCATGTTTGCAGACCCTCTGGTTTTTAGAGAAAGGAGTGGTGAAAGGGAGGGTTTCAGTGCCATAACAGACTATAAGCTCAGGAGAGCTTGCCAGCGTGTGTGCTAGGGACCGGCTCCAAAAGCTGCATAGATTTATAGAGAATTAACAGCTCTGAATCTATGTACACATGGGCCATTCGGTTCTGGTGAGACTTGTTTTTATTGCATTCCTTGCACAGTTTGTGATTATTTCTATCTACGTCTCTTTATAACCCCAAGCTGTTCGCAGCCTTAGTGAACTTTTTTTCTGTAAAATTAGAAATTATCCCTGGGTGACAAACACTATAAAAGTTACACCTTACATCAATTTCAGGTGGATGCTCAGGTAAGCAGACACCACTAAATACAGGTGTAAGCAGGTCCAAAACATTTTGTGATTCGATCACTCAAACCACTTTTGAAGTGTAGTGTAAATGACAATCAGTGTGTGTGATCTGGACAACAAGGACCTACACTTCTGTCAATCATCCACTGAGTTCCAGAGATTTATTTATTGAAATGTTTCTGTTTTTTTTTTTTTTTAATTGAAATTTCCCTCTTTTTATCTGTTTGTTTATCTATTTATTTAATTTCCACTGTGATTTGTTTATCTACTGGACCTTTTCTCTTATTTTTCTATTTTATCATGGCTATTTTATTTATTAATTGTACATATTTGACTGTGTTTAATTTATTATTATTATTTTTTTTTTTTTTTTACTGTGATCTATTTTTTTTTATTTTATTTTCTAGTGGTGTATTTATTTATTTATTTAGTGCTTTGGTTTTTGATATTTTAATTTTCAAATGGTTTAGTTAAATGATTAATTTATTACTAATTATTAATCAATTATTAATATTATTTAAATATTATTTATTTTAATTGATGAAACTGCTCATCAAAGGTTCAAAGGGAGATGTATTTGATGATAAATGTTTATGTCCGGTGTAAGCAGAAATTTATGATCTGATGAACTTATGATCTGATCACCAGACCAGGTGTACACACGGCCTTAGATGTTTAGAAAAAGTGACAAACTTGGGTGGTTAATAGTGAGATCCTTCACAAAAGCAAAAGTGCAAAGGATTAAAAAGGAGCAAAGTATTATTGGAAATGTGCTGGACTGATGTGGTTGGAAACAGACAGGGTGGCAGAGGGAAGAGCATAGTGCATAATATATCAGTTTAATGATTCAGCAATGACATGGAGCCGCTTTGCCTCTCAAATCAATAGCCCTGCACTTTATGGTGCTCTAAATAACACAATAACTGCTCCTCGACACTTATTCCTGCGAGTTGTGTTGCCAGTGCTGCCTTCACATCTTGTTTACAGACTCATTTGGGTGAAAGAGATCCTTCAATATGCATGTCAACAGCATGAGCTAACTACAGTTGATCCTTCTGCTCTGAGCTGGTGAAATTGAGAGCAATCTGAGAGCGGCCCCAACTCACTGAGTCACCAATTGCATAAAATGAACCCTTAACAGCATGACACCAGACTATTAAAGCATTTTAATGTTGTGACCGTTATGCATTATCATATAGTATGAGCATTTAAATGCCAGTCTGTTAGCAGGTTTAATAACAAGGAACGTGAGAATCTTCAAACATTTTCAGACCCCAGTGATGTCTGGACCCCTGAAGTAGATCACCTCTTATCTCATGTCAGCAAATGTCTAGATAGAATGTGATTTTTGACGTGTGAAATTTTTCATTTTATTTAGTGAACTGTCACTTTACTTGTGCTGGTGGGTGAGTGAATAGAAATATAATGTTTTTGATGTTTTTCAAATGTTTCACATTTTCCTGAAAATTACTTTTCATTTTTTGCTTACATTCTGATTACAAAATTACCTAAGCTATAAAATAAAATATTATAGAGCTGTTGAGTCATGATGTCAACTAAGGCTAAGGATGGTTAAAAAGTTTTGTTGTTGTTTTTATTATTGTTATTTTTTATTTATTTATTTTGCTTTTACTCAGCAAGAATTCATTCAACTGATCAAAAGTGACAAAGACTTTTACATTGTTACATACAATTTACGTTTCAGATAAATTATGTTCTTTTGAAAATTCTATCAAAGAAAAAATGCCATGGTTTCTACAA